GAGGGCCGGCCGAGTGGCGCAATGGATAAGAACTGGCTTGGGACGCCAGAGGGCCCCGGTTCGGATCCCACATATGAGGGCCAGTGACACTGCCCTCCACAGCTAAGATGCTAAACAACAGCTCAACCTGGAGCTGGGCTGCCATGAGTTGCTGGTGACGGCGTAAGCTGCAGCCCCTGTGGCAGTGGGTTGCCATGGGCTACCGTGTGTAGCCAGCAGCCGCCGTGAGTGGCCTTCCAGAAGCCGGCGACTGATCTGCCTCGCCAGGGAAGAGCGCAATGATGGTGCCAACTTGGACCAGTGAGGCAACGTCCTCCACAACTAGACTGAAGGACAAAACGACAGCAACTTATCTGTTCCCCTTCCCCCAATTCCCCAGCACTGTTCCCATCCCCCCAATTCCCCAATAAAAATCTTTAAAGAAAAGAAAGAAACACTAGAGTCATCTTTTTTGAAAAGCATAAGAAATCCCAAGAAGAAAAAATAAAAACACACCCACACCTGGGCATGCCATACTAGAACTTCAGAACACCAAAGCCAGAGTCATCTTAAAAGCCACCAAGAAACAACCTCTCATCACCAAAAACAGAGGCTAGAAGACAATATCTCCAGAGGGATGAGAAAAATAATTGTCCATTTAGAATTCTGCTTCCAGATAATCTGTTATTCAAGAGTTAGGATAAAATACAGTCTCAAAAAAATAAAAAACTTAAGATATTTTTATCATTTGCATATCCTTATCAAAGAACCACTTCCATAAGAAGGAATTTGAATCCAGAAGCAAAGAGAAGGATGCAGTAAGCAACAATGAACACAGAAAATGTGGGTCAATTTAAGTAAGCATTGATTATGAAAACAATAAAAAGATTTAACTATGTCAAAATGACATAGTAGATGTAAAAAATGTGATGGAACTACATTACTGTACGATATTGTGAAATACAGAGTATGATCAGAATTACATTATAAGGCCCTTATATTATTCAAGAGAAGAATAGATATTTTGATTAATATTATCTAAAGTAATATATGAATGTTAAAAACATAAAAATAGCTCCTAAAAGAACAGAAATGGGATAGGTAGGATTCAAATCAATAGATGTAAATGAGATTAAAAAAAGTGAAAGTACAATAAAAGTCAGGAAGAACAATAAAACAAGGAGGAACAGAAGAGGAGCAGGGACACAGAAATGTCCTGCAATGAGAAGTGGCATTACATTTTCAAAGATAAAAGATTAAAACTGGCAAAATGACTGTGCGTGAAGTAGGTGTTGTTACAAATTGGCTTCCCTGGGGAAGCCAACTTAGAGATGAAGGTGATCATGTGATTTTATTAAGGACTGTCTTGCTATTAACATCTGAGAATGGTGAAGGAAGCAGAAATGGACAGGGGGAGACATGGAGCTGCAATGCTCAGTAGGGAGTTCCAAAGCTGGACCCATCCTTCAGGGTCACTGGAGTTGGCTGAGATGGCCAGACCTTTATACTCCCCTCCCACAATGCTCTGCCGTTGGATGAGTTGCCTGGAAAGAGGCATGACCTTGAACAAAGGAGCATTCTGCAGCTCAGGCAATCCTCCAAGGGCCTGACCCTTGAAGACTATCTGCTGACAGTCCTCCAGGAAGCTGGGGTAAAAAAACCTCTTCCTTGAAGCAAGATTTGACAAATCATAGGGTCTGCCATATTACCGGAGGTGACTACACCACCAGTTGCTCAAAGGAACCCATTTGTCCTGCTGTGAACAACATCCGCACATTTCCAAACTCTGCTGCTCAAATTTCCTTGGAAACAGCAATGAACTTTTATGCCATGATAATAAAAGATCAATCCAAATCGCTAACCCCCAAATCTTTCTGACTCAAAACTACATCATGTACCTCTTGCTCACTAACCAAAGTAAGGCAAATACAATATTAAGAGCAACCTGAGACTCTTTATCCTTTCACAATTTTAAATCTTCAGTTTGTAAACCAAAATATCATTGCCGTGTCTAATATTTTTATTGAACACGAATCCTTATTTGTGCATACCATTATGTCTCTAGACAGGCAAAGGACTCCAAGATCAGAAAACCATACATGATTGATTTCTTATTCCATAAATCAAAACCAACTCTATTTAAAAGAAACAAGCATTCCCAAGTGGGTACCCTCTAGAGAAACGTAAGATAATTCATCTTGGCAAAATACGTCAAGGCAAACAAACTAAAAAGCAAATCAGCCGAGAAAAAAAAAAAAAAACAAGTAGATACATTGCAAAATCATTCAGCTCACAGTTGCAATAAGGAATATAGAGAGATAATGGAAATATAGGAAGAGCTTCAACATATCAATCACACCATTGCAACAATTCACGTATTAAACAATTTTACTTACTTTTTGTAAAGGGCATTCTGTTGTTTAAAAAGAAAAGGAGCAGAAACAGCCAGCAAATATGTTACTAGTCAAGTACTACAAGTACTGATTTGAAGAGCTGAATAGACCATTGTTATGCGGAAGACACATGTTGACAGTAAGGGTTTCTCTCTTGGGATATCAGAAGATAAATGAGGTAGCTCAGAAGAAAGTACAGCTGAATTTCCTCTTACCTGAAGAGAAACCATCTGCCTTATCCACCTTCTTGTCAGATAATTCCAGACCCCTTCCTACACCTCCGGCCTAAGCAAAAACACTTGCAAGTCCCCAAATTGTTTGTTTTTATGAAATTTATGGGAATAACAACCAGCTGTTAGTAAAAGGAAAGAGGGGAAGTGGATGATCCACTAAAAAAAACCCCAGCATCTGAATTTTATTTTTACTGTAATGTGCCTTTTATTCTTGCAGTGTAGCCCAGGGCTTTCAAGTAGCTGGAAACCTCTGAATTTAAAAGATGGACGTGATTCAAACAACACTTATATCTCATACAGATCTAAGGCACAGAATGCATAGATTTACCATTTCTGTTTATGGCATCATATACATGCGATGTAAACATAATGTAAATGTTATGTAATTTTACGTGAGAGTCTCAAAGTAGTTCTTAAAAACTATCTCAGGCTTGTGTGTATAATATATATACATATATATATATATATATATATATATATATACACACACACCATACTATATACCATATTTATACCATACTATATATAATATATATACATATATATTACATTATACATTATGTGTATATTACACAATATATAACACATCATATGTTATTTATATACATATACATTTGTCTTTAAAATGACACACTGTAATTGAGAGCTATGTCTCTGTGATCTCTTTATACTTGTTTTAAAGCTATGACTACAGTGGGTTTGTATTTTGTTGGAAGTATGGCACATGGAAGAGGTGCGGATTCTGTGAAAAAAAGAAGGAAGGAAGCAAAACAAAAAGGCAGGAAGGAAGTGGGGGAAAGTCCCGACACACACAAGTAGCTTAGAAAGGGTCAGGCTCTGAACACAGCCCAGCACCCCTCCCCACAGTAGGCTGAGCTTCCCCAAAAGTTCCTGGCAGAGCCTTCGTTATACTGTGGCTTGGATGCGCCCCATCCGTGCCCCAGCCACCGGGGCACGCAGGACGATCCTGGGGCCGCAGCCCAGCAAACTCTTGGGTACTTCAGACTCCCTCCCGCGCCCGCCGCCCGCAGTTGATCACTGGGCACCACGCGCCAATCCATCACCCACTCCTGGGCGAATCCCTCTGCCTTTCTCCATCCTCCCTCGGCTCTCTCTCTCCTTCCCAGGGTCTTAAGAAGAAGTCCAAGGGCGGAGGCAGAGGCAGAAAAGAAATGGGAGCAGGGAAAAGGCCGGTTGGCGGATTTACTACTGGGGGCAATAACGATGCCCTCAAGGCGATGGTCCGTGCACCGCTCCGTTCTCCCCGCTGGCCCCCTCGTCAGCACCACAGCCCTCTCCACTCTCCATTTCGGCTTGGATGTGTGGTGAGTAAGAGAAGGGGGGAATAAATCCCCAGCCTCCTGGGCAGCCCTTACCTCTGGCTACCCTCGCAGAAGCCTCCCTCCTGCTGCCCGAGGCGCCGCTGGTGCACCGCGGTGGCTGCTGCGCTCTGGGCACCGGCTCCGGCCGCGGCTCCACCCGGTACAGCTTGTCCGTGCAATGAGAGCGAGCCTTCCTCACGCTCCCAAGCACAAGAGCCAGCCCGAGGGATGGCTGTGCGCCGCTAGCGTGCAGCCGGGACAGCAAGAGACAGCCCGCAGCCGCCGAGGCGGGGCGGGGAGACCCGGAAAGGGGCGCACAAGCCGGGGGCGGCTGCGGAGCGCGCGTGCGGACCGGAGGGCGTCCAGGACCCTTGCCTGGGCAGTACAGGCGGCCACGACGGCCCCTGAGCTTCTCTCACCTCCTCCACTGGCCCCCCAAGCTCTCGCTCTGTATCCTTACTGCCCCCACCCTCCCACCGCCGGAAGAGACAGCTTGCTGGTGGCACTTGGTCTGCCGCGCTGCGCTCTTCAGCCCGGTGCGGAGAATAACAATGTGATCATATTGCACGGACTAGATGCTGTGTAGTAGGTTGTAACTGCTGAGGCCACCACCTGTCAATTCTAGGGAGCAAGACGTACCGTTCCCAGCCGGCTGGCCTCTCCCTGGTTCCCCACCTCGCTTGTTTTCCTCCCGCACCTACCTGGCAGACCTCCTGCAGTACTCCACCGACACGACACCAAGGGAGTTTTGCAAAATAACCCTCACTCCCAACCAGGAGCTCACCGCATCTCCCTTCCCACCACAGCTGAAGAATTACGCACAGCGCCGCGTGCCTATCCAAAGGCGGATGCCGAAAATCCTGGTATGAACCCCAAACTCGTCGACCCCCCCCCGCCCCCATTCATAATCCCAGAGGCCGTCTGCCACTACGCACCCTCCCCTTGCCGCCTGCGCTCGCTGCGATTCGCAGTCCCTGGAACGTGTCAGTCACTCGCTCTTCATCTGCCATTAATACAGTACTAGAAGCTCCGCAGCCACGGGTTGCACAAAGGGGGTTGGGGAGGGGGCACTCAGAGCTCAGGGTAGGGGGAGGACAGGGAGCAAGCGGGGCAAATATGCAAAAGGAGCCGGTGCGAGGGTGAAAGCCCGCTGATCTCCTGTTGCACAAAGGAGCTCCGGAGGAGATAAGCGCAGTGCTACTGAACAAACAAGTCAGATCACCTCCGAGTTGGTGCTCCACCAAGATCCCCTAGGAGTGGGTCCCACAACTTGGGAATTTGTGTGACCGGAGCAACAGGCACCCGGAGCGTGACTGTCTGGCTTGAAAC